TTTTTTTTTTTTTTTTTTTTTAATTTAAATAGTTATTACCATTTATGTGTTTTAAAACTTAATTAATTCCAACAATGAATGTTAATGACCAAATCATGCTATTAACTCATTTTCTCTCTCCTATAAGTGTACCAAATAATTAAATTCTAAATTTAAATTTATATATAGTTTATTTTAAATTTATCTTAAGTTTATGTACCCGTTTTTTCTAACATAATTTTATATTTAGATTATTTTAAATTTATTATAGGTTTATAAACAATAACAAGAACACCTATTTTTAATTTTTTATAAGTTTATAAAACATTACAAGAATTCTGTAAATTTAAATTTATATATAGTTTATTTTCATTTTATTATACAAGAAAAAATCAGTTTACTATATATGAAAAAATTATATATGGTTTATTGTTAATTTATTTTTTGTTTACCTTAAGTTTGTTACATTATTTTTATAACTTGAAACTTTTGGTTTTTCTCAAGTTGGACAGTTACTCAAATACTGGGGCCTGATTATCTATTTTTTTACTAAATCACAAAAAACAATTTGACAAAAAAAAAAAAATAACATATACAAGATAAAAATAAATATAATGGTTTATCTTAAGTTTAATATCTATTATTTTACAAAATCGTTAAAAACAAATTGAGAAAAAAAAAACATATACAAGATAAAATTAAATATAATGTTTTATCTTAAGTTATTATCTATTTTTTTTTACTAAATCATGAAAAAAAATTGACAAAAAAACCAAAATAAAACTAAAAATAAACTACAAATAAGACAAAAAAAAAAGAACAATTAATAATCATAATCTAACATTAAAAACATCAATCTAATTCTCAAATGTTCAAAACACATATATATTGCATACCAATACACAAACTCCATCAAAACTCCTCCTATATCGTTTCAATGCCTTAAGCATTGTCAACCCCCTGAATATTGAAACTAGAACATGTACCTCACGATCCAAAATCCCTACTCAAGCAGTCCAACTCAAATGCGACTTCCTTCACACTCGGCTTATATTGACGAGCACGCTAAGCACTTTTCGGCAAGTTTTTCAATCTACACGAAACCATTTACCATGGATGGTGGATCCAAGATCCTTTCCAAGTCGTCCCCTCGTCAATAGCTCCGCTAGCACCACTACAAATGATAGACGTCACACCCTGTTCTGTCTGCACCTCAGGGCTCAAACAACCCACCGAGCTCGATGAGTTTTGTTCTCTATTCTTCCTGGACTGTTTTTTAATGTTCCTCTGTAAGTGACACTTGCACCGGCTTCCCTTTAGAGCCTATTGTTGCATAAGTAATTCTTGGTGGTTGTCTGGATGTCTTACGCGGTGAAGACAGATATCATTGAGGATTTGTTTTTCTTGGGTTGTCTGAATATCTACAAAAAAGTCACAATAACAAGAATTATGAAGCCTGGATGGAAAATGAACAGAATGTTCAAACATATTATTTCTCCCAAGTTTACATCAAGTTTATATATAGCTTATTAAGATAATAATGACAAATTTGATAACAATTCATTTTATTTGTTTACTGGATTCAAATGCAGCCTAAATGGGGACTAAACTCGCCGGTGGCGAGTTTCTACGCACTGTGGGTCAAACAAAGGGAAATTCAGCAACATTAGAAACATAACAATCCAACAATTCACATATATGCAATTCATGTATCAATCAATGAAACCCCCAAAACAAAAACAAAAAATAAAAAATTAGTTAAACCCTAGACTAGTATACCACAACTTTGGATTAAGAGAATTTAGTAAACCACACCTTTCCAACTAGTTGTTTCTGCGCCTCGACGAGTTATATGCTGAGCCTCGAGGCGGCAAACGGTGCAGGTGGCGGGAGAAGCGAGCGGAAGAGGGAGAGAATCTCGAAACAAGGGTGATGTTGGCGGCGGTTTGATGGCGCTGAGATGCACGCCCTCCGCTGCGTCGTCGAAGGTGGAGATGCTCTCCTGGACTTAGTACCGTTGACCGCCTCCATCGCATCAGATCTTAGGGCGTTGGAACTGTCGGCGGTGCGATGATGACAGATAGAGAGTTGAGGCAGGTTGGTGTTGATGATTGATGAATGAAAAATTAACAAGAGACGAAATTGATGTGCGAATGTATAAACTTGCACTACAAGAAAATGATGAAATTCCAACGGAAATATATTTCAAAAGAATTATTCCAACGGCAATTCCAACGGATATTTCAATACTATTATTTCCGTTAGAATTTTTCAATGGATTCCAACGGAAATTCCAACGAAAATATTCCGTTGGAATGAGTTTTCTATTGGAATTTCCGTTGGATTTTGACGATTCCAACGGCGGATTTTCCAACGGGGGTGGAAAAAAAAATTCCAACGGAATTTGCATATTCCAACGGAAATTCCTACGGTAAAAAACCGTTGGAAATATAGTCGTTGGAATTATCAAATTTCATCTAAAATTCCAATGAAAAACACATTCCAACGGAATATTTCCGTTGGAATTTCTGTTGGAATTATTCCAACGGAAGCTATTCCATTGGAATATCCGTTGGAATTTCCATTGGAATATATTACCATAGGATTTTCCGTTGGAATATAACATTTATTTTATAGTGTTGGTCTTATAAAAATTGATAATTAATGAGGTTTTATATATGAAATCAAGACCTGTAATAATTGGAATAAGAAAAAAGATCACATCTTTGGGGCAGTAAATCTTAGGTTGGTCGTATGCAGGTAATTTTCTCAATAAGATTTACTATTTAATTTTAAGTACAAGTCGGGCCACTAGACTCCTTAGGCCTTTTAGAACTTTAAATTATAAAACATGTTTGGTGTAAAATGAATATGAATACTTCATTAATAAAAGTGATCAAAATTAATTAGAAACATAACTATTAATAGGTTGAAACATGTTCACAATTATATTCAATAATACATTTTAGGGAAAATGGTTATGTTACGGAATCATTCTATCGAGTTTGTAACATTTAGATCATCATGTAATCGTCGATAATAGTTGATCTAACAGTTACAAATTCCGACGGAATAGTTCCATAACGAGACCCGTCGATAATAGTTGATCAATGTTTATTCATGTTTATTAAGACTATTTAAATTCTAAACACTTAGTAAAACAAATTATGAATATATTTTAATACTTAATATTATTTTTTTTTGTTTGTTATCACTTTTTTATATATTATATTTCAAATTAAATTTCTTTTGACGATCTTTTATTTACATCCATAATGAATATATAAAATAAAAATTTATTTTATGTAAATGTAGATTAAATAAGCTACTAATATTTGTTTACAACGTATTTAATTTTTTTAAATTTAATTTACATTTTAAATATACTCTTTAATTAACTACTAACACATACACATGAATATTACACAACAAAGGAAACCCGACTGACCTTAGAAGACAAGGAACACCGACTGACCTTAGCGTTTCCTTATAAATAAGGTAGTATCCATTCTAGGTTATACCAAAAACACAACAAAGAAAAAACTCACAAGAA